TTTACTTTATTTTACTTTTTGAGACACAGTCTCAATCTCTTGCCCGGGCTGAAGTGCAGTGGTACAATCTCGGCTCACTGCAACCTCTGCCTCCTGGGTTCAAGAGATTCTCCTGTCTCAGCCTCCCAAATAGCTGAGATTACAAGAAGCCGCCACCATGCCAGCTAATTTTTGTATTTTTAGTAGAGATGGGGTTTCGCCGTGTTGGCCAGGCTGGCCTTGAACTCCTGGCTGCAAGTGATCCACCCACTTCGGCCTCCAAAAGTGCTGAGATTACAGGCATGAGCCACCGCACCTGGCCTGAGAAACTTTAAAAACATACCAACAAGCACTTGGGGATGCCAAGGAAGGAAGATTACTTGAAGCCAGGAGTTCGAGACCAGCCTGGGCAACAAAGCAAGACCTCCATACAAAAAATAATAATACAAAAAATAATTGAAAAAGTTATCCAGGTGCGGTTGCATATATCTGTAGGCCCAGCTACTTGGGAGGCTGAAGTGGGAGGATCACTTGAGCCCAGGAGTTTGATGTTGCAGTGAGCTATGCTCGTGCAACTGCACTCCAGCCTGGATGACAGAGCGTCTCTAAAAATTAAAAAAATTTCTTAAACATACTGAGCCCTGAGCCCCACCTCAGTCCATCTGGAAATCAGAATCTCTGGGGAATGAGCATTTTAGATGCTCTTCAGGTAATATTGTGCAGCTAACATTGAGAACTGCTGATCCCTAGGGAGCAATATATATGAAGTGTCTGCTGATTTCTGGCCAACCAGATCTAGAAACGTCGTCATTTAAGCAATGCATCAATATATGAATCTTTTCTATAGGATATATTTATTTTATTAAGCAGGGTTTTTCACTGAACTTCTTTATTCTACAGAAATATATCTAATTTACATGTGTGCATTACACAAAGTTTCCCTCTCTCTTAGCATTTGGCACATCCAAGCTGGCAACCCCATTCTCTTATACTTACTCCAGATTTCCATTTGCTGGACTGGAAATGCACTGTGGAAATCCACAAAGAGAAAAAGCAGCAGAGTTTGTCCTTGAGGGTCCATATTATGAGACTGATCCCCCTCACTGGATTCCGCCCGATAACTCACATCTGGAAGCACCAAATCTAGAGGACAAGATATTACATGAATTTCTAAGATAAGTAAAGCCCTCGAAATACAAAGTGACTACAGAACCTGTATTCTGAACAAAGAAGGATCTGAGAATAGGAGATCTAAATTCAAACACTCATTTACCTTCCTGAACCTGTTTCTCTATCCACATGATGGAAGCAAATCATAATGATTCACAGGAAGAACATGAAAATAGTAACTAGGTATGTAAAATGCAAACCAAACAACACTCCTTTACATTACTGAGAAGCACTACACAATAAATTAATTGATTCCTTGTACAACTTTCTAAGGCAGGTATGGCTGGTAAGAGGTTAGATTCACCTAAGTGTGATGACAACAGCTAACTTGTGTTACGTGCCAGGTACTGCATCAAATGCTTATGTACTATTTCCACATTTAGACTTTACAACAACACTATTGGATAGGACCTATTCTTATGCCCTTTTACAGATAAGAAAAGAGGCATAGATAGGTTAAATACCTCATTCAGCATGAGCCAGTAAATGGTGGAACTGAGTTCTAGATTTTGCTAGACTGACTAAAGAATCTGCTCTTAGCCCCAGTACTATATATTTGTATCCCCAAATGTAATCCATTGCCCAGTGGTCACTTTCTAGCACCTTGATCCTTTAGAATACAATCAGGATAGTCCTATATTTCAGATCCATGTAGAGAAGTACCTTCATATGGATCCTTGTTCTGTCCTTTAGAGTAATAAGGGAGGGAGATGAAGGGACATTTTCTACGTTATCCATTTCCAAAGTTAACTGAGAAAGTTCAGGACCATGAATTGGTAAAAAACTAAACCAGCAAAGCCCAAAAACAAAAATGAAAGAGAAAAGGAGATATGGAGAGCCCTAGAAATTCACCAGTCATATCTCTATTCGAAATCGGTGGAGTCTATCATTCCCTCTAAGATACTGCCCCATCCCAGTAGGCTTCAATCTTCTCATACCAGTCATAGCCGCAGAATACCTCTTCCCTATTGGCCATCTTCCTCAGGAGCCAGAAGACCAGACTACCTTCTAAATTTCATAGGATTCTAGTTAGAACAGTCAATCTCAAAACTGCAACCCCTCCTAGATATCAGCCCATGGTCACATACTCCAATTTCACAGTTTTATTAGCTCAGTTATTAACCTCCAACTTTTAGCATGATTCACCCAAAGCTGGTATGGTTAGAGTTTATGTGAATATTACAGTCCGCTTCCTAGGCCTAATACTATTACATCTTGCACTTGTATGTGTTTTAATTGTTTCTAAGGAATTTTATGTGATTTTCTCAGTTCACTATGAAGCATTTATCTTCCACAGTAGTTCAGAAGTATCACTGCTCCCTTACCTTTGTAAAGGCCCAGAGTTGACAGATTAGGTACATTAGAACTCTTCTGAACAAGTATCTAACAGAAGGACCAGGAATAGAGGAGGCAGCAGAGGAAGTAAGAGGAGAACCAGTATCAACATGCAATGCCAGGCCGGGTGCGGTGGCTCACACCTATAATACCAGCACTTTGGGAGGCTGAGGCAGGTGGGCCACTTGAGGTCAGGAGTTCAAGACCAGCCTGGCCAACATGGGGAAACGCTGTCTCTACCAAAAATACAAAAAACAATTAGCTAGGCATGGTGGTGGGCACCTGTAATCCCAGCTACTCGGAAGGGTGAGGCAGGAGGATCACTTGAACCCAGGAGGCAGAGGTTGCAGCCAGCCAAGATTGTACCACTGCACTCCAGCCTGGGCGACGGAGCAAGACTCTGTTTCAAAAAAACAAAACAAAACAAAACAAACAAAAACAAACAACAAAAAAACATGCAATGCCAAAACAAGCTCTGAAAGAGCTTTGTCTGTTTGACACCTGTTTGCCTCACTTCAAGTGGTCTCTCACATTTGGCCAGACCCTGACCCTCAAACCCCAACCTGGGCCATATCTCTGGTCATATTTTTATATACACTTTCTATTCGTATTTCCTTTCATTTCTCTAATATTCTTCAAGTTTCTTCATTCCTGTGCAGAGAGAGGGAGGATATACCTCTATCCAAATTGAGATCCAAATTGGGTACCATACACAAATGGTATTTTTTCCAATCAATTAAAGAAGAGGTATCTTTGAAGAAAGTAGTCATTGGCTGCTCCCAAGTTGACAATATCAGAGGCAGACCCAAAGGTCCATATAGAAATATGTGTAGTTGCTAAAGAAAACTGCCAAGTTTTAGTATCTTATGACTATGTATTCACTTGTATAAAAAAACAAATATAACCCTGACCTGGTTTACACTCCCATAAATGTGTTATGCAGTTACTTTTTTTTTTTTTCTTTTTTTTTTTTTTGAGATAGAGTCTTGCTCTGTCACCCAGGCTGGAGTGCAATGGCACCATCTCCGCTCACTGCAACCTCCACCTCCCGGGTTCAAGTGATTATCCTGCCTCAGCCTCCCAAGTAGCTAGGTAGCTGGGATTACAGGTGCATGCCACCATGACTGGCTAATTTTTGTAGTTTTAGTAGAGATGGGGTTTCACTATGTTGGCCAGGACGGTCTCGATCTCTTGACCCCGTGATCCGCCCACCTCCGCCTCCCAAAGTGCTGGGATTACAGGCATGAGCCACCATGCCCAGCCTAAGCAGTTATATACTAAGCCTTTCCACACTGAAGACAGGTGTGAGGCACCACAGATAGATCCACTAGGATCCCCAGAAATTTATTCTGGGTTTAATAAGTATGAGTTACAGATACAATATTAAGACAGTTTATTTATTCATCCGGTTCACATGATCATAGATTTGAAAGGCACCACAGGTTAACATTGTTTTAAGTTCTAAGTTCTTGGGGTACAAAGATGAATATCCAGATAATATCTGTCCTCAAGTTTATCATATTTACAGTATGAGAGATAGATAAAAGCTGGTAAGCTATAATACAATGTGATACATGCTAGAAGTATATACAATGCAATATTTTCTGGAAAGTATTTGAGTATACTCAGATTGAGAAGGAAACTTCCTCTGATCATCTCCAAACCTATTATCTAAAACAAAAGAAGGCAAGCCCCTGAAATGGTTTCTGAACTTCCCATTCCCACTCTTATCCTATCTGTAACCCAGGGTTTCTTAACCTCTGCACTAGTGACACTTTGGGCCAGATAATTCTTCACTGTGGTGGGCAGTCCTGTGCACTACAGGATGTTTAGTAGCATCCCTGGCCTCTAGCCACCAAATGCCAGTAGCACCCTTCCTCACATTACCCCCTCCATGACAATCAAAAATGTCTCCAGACATTGCCAAATGTCCTTTGAGGACAAGATTACCCCATTAAGAACCACTGCTTAACCTTTCTTGTCCCCTGAACCAAGGCCAGAGACCAGAATGTGTACTTTCCTTTATCTTTCTTCGTTTTCATCCTCTTTCTTATGGGGTAAACACAAGGTATTGTGAAGATTAAAATTCCTACCCAGTGGGCACTGGGGCATTATGGAAAGGCTTTATACCCGTAAATGAAGTCTCCCTCACAAATCTCAGAAGGCATTAACACATGAACTAAGGCTGACTCACTGTTTAGGGCAAGAGGAATTTTAAGATGCAAACTCAGAATAAGAGGGGAGTGTCTGAAGAGCCAAGAAGTGCAGTTGTCTTATAATTGGGTTGTTTAAATCATTTACATGTAATATGAATATAGCTACAGTTGGGTTTAAATCCATCATCTCTTTTCCATTTGTTGCTTGTATTCTTTGTTTCCTTTTTCCTCTTTTCTATTTTTGGATTAGAAATTGCTTTTTAAGTTTTAAAAAGTGTTTTCTCTCTCTCCCCACCCCCCTTTTTTAAGAGACAGGGTCTCATTCTGTTGCTCAGACTAGAGTGCAATGATGTGATTATAGCTCACTGCAGCCTCAAATTCCTGGGCTTAAGCGATCCTCTCTCTGCATCAGCCTCCAAGGTAGCTGGGACTACAGGTAAGAGCCACCATGCTGCCAGGAATTTTTTATAATTCCATTTTATCTCCTTTTAAAGTTATTCGTTATAACTGTTGCTTTAACCTAGGGATTGCCAGGCTTTATTAGTATACAACTTTAACTTATCACAGTCTACCTTCAAATGATATTGTAACAATTCATATACAGTCTAAAAATCCAGCGATATACTTCTACTTCTCTCCTCTTGGCCTTTGTGCTATTGTCACATGTTTTACTTCCACAGACGTTATAAACTTTATATGTTATATTTTTGCAGATCCATGACCAATGAACCCTAAGCATAAGAAATACGAAAAATATAGGCCAGGTGCAGTAGGTCATGCCTGTAATCCCAGCACTTTGGGAGGCCAAGGCGAGCAGATGACTTGAGGTCAGGAGTTCGAGACCAGCCTGGCCAACATGACGAAACCCTGTCTCTATTAAAAATACAAAAATTCGCTGGCCATGGTCCAGGTGCTCAGGAGGCTGAAATGGCAGAGATAGAAATCATTTCAGGGGCCTGACTGATTGAACCCAGGAGGCGGAGGTTGCAGTAAGCTGAGATCACACCACTGCACTTCAGCCCGGGCGACAGAGTGAGACTCCGTCTCAAAAAAAAGAAATATGAAAAAAATAGAAAATGATAGCAAAACATGTCACACACACACGCGCAAAATTAGCCAGATGTGGTGGTGCGCACCTGTACTCCTAGCCACTCAGGAGGCTGAAGTGGGAAGGTCACATGAGCTTAGGAGCTCAAGGCTGTAGTGAGCTAAGATCAAGCCACTGCACTCCAGCCTGGGAAACAGCAAGACCCTGTCTCTACATAAATGAAGAAAGCCTCAGTGAACTGTGGGATAACTTTAGGTGGCCTAATTCAAGAATGTGTAATTGAAGTCCTGAAGGGAGGGACTTCAAGACTTGTTTCTTAAAGATTTTTTTTTTTTTTTCTTCTGGTGAGGTACTTATGAAAGGAAAATTCAAACTCAAGACCCCAAACCACTATGCCAAAAGGAAATAATTTAGCTGAAAGCTGAGTCATGCAAGAAGTTGCCTCTCCTTTTGTTCCTAAGCAGATAGCTACAGATAAAGGGTTAAATACCTCTACAGGTAGCTACTCTTATGTTCTCCTTCTATTATATAAAGGGTCAATTTACTGAGCACAAGACAAATACATAATTGACTATTCCCCTACTTGCTCCTTTCTCTTGTAACATATGGATTCAATAATGTGACCATCCCCTCCCTCTTTCCCCTCCAGCCTGCATTTCCCTCCTTTAAATACCGAAGACCTCAAAACTATCTTTAGAGAAAGGCACAGGCACATCCTTAACCTTGGCAAAATAAACTTCTAAACTAATTGAGACCTGTCTTAGATACTTTTTGGTTTATATACTCAAGAAGGATATTTTGTGTTTTTAAAAGGACAAAAGTATTTTGTATCTACCCGCATAGCCACCACTTCCAGTGCTCTTCCTTTTTTGGGTAGATCCAGAATTCCATTTGGCATCACTTTTCTTCTACCTAAAAGATTTCTGTTAACATTTCTTATAATACAGGTCTTCTCGTGATACATTCTTTCACCTTTTCTATGTCTGAAAAATTCTTCATTTTGCCTTTTTTCTCTCAGTACTTTCTAAAGATGTTACCCCACTTTCTTCCAGTTAACATTGTGTCCAGTGAGAAATCTGCCATAATTATTTTGTTGCTGTACACATAATGTGTCTTTTTTATCTCCAGCTGCTTTTAAAATTTTTTATTACTGGCTTCAAATACTTTGATTGTGATGTGACTCAGTATAATTTTCTTCATATTTCTTACACTTAGGCTTCATTGATCATGAATCTGCAGGTTTATAGTTTTCATTAAAATTTGGAAACTTGGGGGTGAGACCCTGTCTCTACAAAAAAATTAAAATAAAAATAAATTTGCCAGGCATGATGGTGCATGCCTGTAGTCCCAGCTACTCAGGAGAGGCTGAGGTAGGAGGACTGCTTAACCCCAGAAGTTCGAGGTTGCAGTGAGCTATGATTGCACCACTGCACTTTAGTCTGGGCAACAGAGCAAGACGCCTTTAAAAAAAATTGCTATTTCTCTGAATTTACACTCACATTCTTCCATATGATGCTAAAAATTTTGGTTCCTAACATTGTTAACATAATTTTTTATCATAAGTATGTATACAATAATTCCAATATAAAATACCAATATTATTCCTAACAATCATGCCACTGAATAAATTTTAAGAGGTCTTTGGACTTCCATTTCATCCTTAGAGTATATCCTGCTAAGAATGTATAGTCAAAACACCATGTTCTAAAGTCTGTTGAATTAATTCTTCTTGTTACATGGATTATAATTTTAACATAATATACAGGTAAGTTTATTACCTTTTATGTTGAGGAATATTTGGATTGGATATGAAATTCTAGGTTGGTAATGGTTTTATTTCAGGACATTAACACTATTAGTCTAACACCTTCTGTTGGAATGGGGAAGTCAACTGTTAATTTGTTCATCTTTTAAAGATGATTTGTCCTCCTGACTGATTTTAAGAGTTTCTCTGTTTTTCATCTCTTTAGGTGTATAAATCTTTTTTATTTATACTGCTTGATTATTCTGTTGTTAAATCTGTCTCAGTTGTTTCAGTCATTAACTCTTTAAATACTGTTTCTGCCCCATTTTTTCTTCTCTCTTCTCTTTTTGGACATCAATTAAATACCCATTAGACAGTTTTACTCTTTACTCTGTTAACCCCTTTCTTCTGTATTTTCCATGACTTGTCTCTTTGCTTTATTTTTGCTAAGTTCTTGCTATCTTTAGCTTTTAGTTTACAAATTCACTTAAGTTGTACTTAATCTGCTGTTAAACCTGTGTACCAAATTTTATTCGACATTGGTTATTATATTTCTTGATTCCACAATTTCTGTTTTGTTCTTGTTAAAAGTTATTTCATATTTTACAGTTTGTTTCCTAGTAAAATTTTTCAAACTTGCTTTCATTTTCATAAACATAGTAAGCATAATTTTTCATTTTATTTTTTTTGAAACAGGTCTCACGTCACCCAGGCTGAAGGGCAGTGGTGCGATCATGGCTCACTGCAGTCTTGACCTCCTGTGCTCAAGCAATCTTCCCACTTCAGCCTCCTGAGTAGCTGGGACCACATGCATGCACCATCCATGCCCAGCTAACTTGTCTAGAGATGGGGGTCTCACTGTGTTTCCCAGGCTGATAT